GTAAATAGAAATACGTTTCTCTTAATTTTATCATTTAATATAATAGTAAATATGGCCAAATCTTTTTTGTGATTATAACTTGTGATTATAACTATGCAATTTTACAATTCTAACTTGATGGGCTAATTTATGAGTTTGTAATATGCAAAAGTTTATAAAAATTACATAATCTAATTTAACATAAAAGTTAGATGGTATGGCATATAAGTTTGAAAAGTAACAATAAAAGGGTAATTATGCAGAAATAAGGAGCCATTCCCGATTTCGATAATTTTGAAATATGTTATCAAGGTCATCACGCTGAGTAATGTTATGAAGTTTTTAGCCAACGCTCATTGTTCATTAAAAAGTTATTAATAAAAAAGTTGACTAAGTAAAATGTAATTTTTCTGACACTTTGTACATTTCATAAAGCGTACTTTAGCAGATTCATTTATTTATGCATAGTAAATCAAACGCATGTGCGGGGAGGAGCTCCGCTCCTCCCTCTGTACCTCCTCGACGAAAAAATTCTAACCTAACCCAAACTTAATTTTAATTTAATTAGAAACGGGTTTGGGTTAGGTTAGAATTTTTTGGGGGTATGGGTACAGGACTTCGCCCCTTCTCCGCCTACGTTTTCACTTTATAATACACATACATATTCTTATGTATACATGTATGTGATATCAAAAACAAAATAATAATTTTACAAGGATATCATTGTTCCACTAACTGCTCTCAGTAAGAAAGATAAACAAAAACAACTTACTCTCAGTGAACAATGTAATACAGAAACATATAATCTATATACATCGTCATAGAATTACATACTATTCATTATATTTTCTTTGCTAATAATTTTTTAATAAACAACGAGCTCCGGTTAAAATCTTCACAACATTATTCAAAGTGATGACCTTGATAACATATTTCAAAATTATCGAAATCGGGAATGGCTCCTTATTTCTGCATAATTACCCTTTTATTGTTACTTTTCAAACTTATATGCCATACCATCTAACTTTTATGTTAAATTAGATTATGTAATTTTTATAAACTTTCGCATATTAAAAACTCATAAATTAGCCTATCAAGTTAGAATTGTAAAATTGCATAGTTATAATCACAAGTTATAATCACAAAAAAGATTTGGCCATATTTACTATTATATTAAATGATAAAATTAAGAGAAACGTATTTCTATTTACACTAATAGAATTAGACTAAGAAAATATTTACTTCAAAGTCACATTTAAGAATATTAATTAAAAATAATATATAAACAAATAGTACACTGATATGTTTACACATATCGTGTAAAAATGAGATATAGATAATTATCTTTTATTAATTGTTTCGACAAAAAGATGTTTTGAACAATTTTATTACATGTTAATAAATTATCTTCTAACAGTATCTCTAGTATATTTTTTACTTTACCTTTAGCTCCCTCCTGAAAGGGACCAAGTATTGTATCGGACTTTGCATATGATTTACGAAGACCGCTGGTGCCAAGCTGATCATCATTTGCACCATTTGAGCGATTTCTGGACGCTCTGATGCCATTATGTAAAAAGTTGTTGTACCCATCGAATGACCGATATACGTATGCAACGGTTGCGATTTCATATTTGTAATAAATTTAATCATCGCGGGTAAATCGTAGATGCCCATTTCGTTGAAACTGATGGAAAATTTGATTGATATACCGTAAAATATATAAATACATATAAAAAACAATACAATTGTTCCGTAAAAACACCACGAAAATTTTGCGTAAAGAATTATTTATACCAAAAATCAAGAAATAGCAAATGCTTTATCTTAATATAACAAAATGTGAGATATCTCGAATACATTGCTTTAAAATAAACAATGTGTATTTTATTGATATGAAATACCTGTGCGTTTTATGTCTAATTAAATCAGAAATTATAACAATTACGTTATTCCCAATGAATTTATACTATGTATGCGAGTACCTGAAATCCCAAAATGTCGAGTCCGACGGAGATAAAGAAATATGCGCTTTCGAATAAATATTACCACGAAAATTGCCTAACCAAACATCGTATCCTTGATCCGCTAATAGGTAAGCTAAAATCCCCCCCCAAAAAACATTATTTGCAGTATTTATCGCATTATTTATCTGTTCATATAATATCGTATTATATAATATCAATTTTCTATTTTTTGTGGTATTTTTAGGATAGAAATAAGATTAACAATATGGTGTTGCGATATATGTATGGTCTTAAGAGAAAACTGATTAAACTAATTGATTTTGGTCATACGGAATGCTTTGTCTTTGCCAAGAATAATCCATTGAGCGGAGTTGCTTAAAAGACCGTGTTGCAGCAGCACAGGTAGAGAATTGTTGCCACCTGGAATACGATGTAACGTCAAGAGATACCCATCCTCCGTCATTATAACATGAGCCTCCGCGGGATAACCCGCGCTTCTTATCATCTCCGGCTGAAAGAAAAAAAACATTGTAAACAAAAGAGGAAAAAATGAAATTTAAACTTGAGATAAATTTGGATGACAAAAGAGAGAGAAAGAGAAAAGAGACAATAAGAAAAAGAAATGCACGTTGTATTTATTTTTAAATAAATGAAGTAATTCTACAATATGAATAATATAAATATTTAATATCTAATAACATGAAGAGTTAACATAAAATCATGAACTATTTTATTATTAGAATTGTTACGTCCTGGCGACTCCACGATTCCTTCCTTCCGCGACGTTGCGGCAACGATCGTCAATTGGTGAGAAAAATAAATCGTTCAGCGAATAGAGCAGCTTGCGCCACACATTTCTTTAAACATTTAGTCACTTGTCAATGTCTATATCTATGAGTAACCGTGAGAAAAACGCAAGAAGACCGGTAACGAAACCGCGCCGGTCGCCTAGAAATAAATAAAAATCAGTAGATACCCTTTACAGTAGAATTTTCCGGCGAAAGAATAAAGTGATACCGAAAAGATAATAAAATTCCTTCTAACGAAATATCTGACAAGTACAAGTGAATCAATAATAATCAAACTTCCGTAACGAAATATTCAGTAAATACAGCTGCATTAATATCGATAAAAATAATCATAACGAAGTCAGACTTTTTCTAATCAGATCACGTGCGCGAGGGTCCGCCGAGAAAGTTAATGTTCAAGGGACTTTGAACTGATATCGAGATCACCAATCGATGATCACCACGGATAAAAACTCGAAAAGTAGGAGAAACACCCCGCCTAATGAGGAAACTAGCACAATTTTTAATTCGTTAAGATGAAGAATCCCCACTTTTGCGCAATTTCAATTCGTTGAAGTTTTGGAATATTCCTACTTTTAGAATTAGAATACACTCCTGAAAAAAGAACTATAAAAAGAGGACTCGAAGGGACATTCAGATATTTATTCTCCGGTCTTCAGCTTCACGCAGTCTTACTCTGTGCTTTTGCACCGTAATTCGCGGGTTAGGCACTTGTGCAACCAGTGTCCTCACTTGGCATCATCTCCAGAATATTAGGCTGCCGACATGAGACATAGAGCGAAACACCGTACAAATTCGCCACCCCTCCACCTCTGAATTACAATCGTTCTTAAGAGGATGCCGGAGCGACGGGCGAACTCCGACGGGTTTGCGCCCTCATCTAAACGTAACTAATAGTGTCGGTATATTACCAACGCTTTATAGTTACATTACCGATATCATTATGCCAGAAAATATTTATTATTATAATTGTTATATTTACATGTGCAAAAGTTTCCGGCCACATTGTACTACGAAAAAAATTATTAGTCCACATATTCTATAATACACTTTAGCTAGTTTAAATTATATTTTAGTGTCAATATTTTGTAGCCATACCCTTTGCAGCAATAACAGCCGCACAACTATGTGGCATCGACTCAATTAGTCGATTAATGCAAGCAGGTGGAATTTTACCCCATTCTTTCTTCAACGATTTGAATAATGTGACTTTATTTGAATATGTATGCTTTCGAACTTGACGATCTAGCGTTTCCCACAGGTGATCAATTGGGTTCAAGTCCGGTGATTGAGATGGCCAGCTTAAAACTCTCACATTTGAAGCAGAAAACCACTGTTTTAACAACTTTGATGTGTGTTTGGGGTCATTATCCTACTGAAATATCCAATCCCGCGGCATTGTTTCTTCAGCATATGTTAACAAATTTTTTTCTAAAATGTCCTTGTAAATAGCAGCGTTCATATTTCCGTTGATCTCGACTAATGGACCGACTCCTTGTGCAGAAAAAACTCCCCAAACCATCACACTTCCTCCACCGTGCTTTACAGTAGGAATTTGGTACCGAACGTCATTTCTGGTACCAATAGGACGTCGTACATGTTGTCTACCATCGCTTCCAAAAAGATTAAATTTAG